CAGTCTCCTATTTTGTTACTTTATGTTCCCCAGACGAATGCAATCTTTCTATGTCTGTCCCTTTCTTTCTGACTCATTTCGCTTAGCATGATACTTTCCATGTAGTACCACTTGTATGTAAATTCCATGACTTCATCTTTTCTAACAGCTATATAGTGCTCCATTGTGTAGTTGTACCAAAGTTTCTTAAACCAGTCTTCTGTTCTCAGGCATTCAGGTTTATTCCAGATTCTGGCTATTGTAAAGAGTGCTTCAATGAGCAAACAAGTGCAGATGTCACTTCGATTATACCTTTTTGCCACTCTGGGATATATTCCCAGGAGTGCTATAGCTGGGTCAAATGGGAGATCATATTCTAATTTTTTGAGAATTGTCCATACTGTTTTCCAAAAGGGCTGAACCAGTCAGAATTCCCACAAGCAGTGAAGGAGGGTCCCTTTCTTGCGACATCCGTGCCAACAGCAGTTGCTTTTGTTCTTTTGTATGTGGGCCAGTCTCTGTGATGTGAGATGATATCTCATTGTTGTTTTGATCTGCATCTTCCTGATGATTATTGATGTAGAGCATTTTCTCATGTGCCTTTTTGCCATTCAGATTTCTTCTTTGAGAAAGTTTCCATTCATTTCGTTGCCCCATTTTTTTTATGAGGTTGTATGTTTTCTTCTTGTGGAGTTCAACCAGTACTTTGTATATCCTTGATATCAACCTCTTGTTAGATGTGTATTGGGCGAATATCCTTTCCCATTCTGTAGACTGTCTTTGTATTTTGGTCACTGTTTCTTTTGAGGTGCAGAAGCTTCTTCCTTTAAGATAGTCCCATTTTTCTATCTCTGTTTTCACTTCTTGGCCAGTGGTGTGACATCTTTGAAGATACCATTAGCTTCAATGTCATAGAGGGTTTTGCGAACTTTGTCTTCAATGTACCTTATGAATTCCGGTCTGATGTTGAGGTCTTTATTCCATTTTGATCTTACTTTTGTACATGGTGTTAGGCAGAGATCTGAGCCCATTTTTTGCATGTAGCTGTCCAGTTTTGAAATTCATATAAAATAATAAGCCCCCACGAATACCTAAAGCAATTCTTGGGAAAAAGGAAATAGGAGGAATCAACCTCCCTAACTTCAAACTCTACTACAAAGCAGTAATAATTAAATCAGCATGGTACTGGTACAAAGGCAGAGCTGCAGACCAATGGAACAAGGTTGAATATACTGACATCTCCCCCCAAACATATGATCATCTAATCTTTGACGTGGGAGCAAGAAATGTGAAGTGGAGCAAGGAAAGCCTTTTTAACAAATTGTTCTGGCAAAATTGGATGCTCTTTCTTAAAGAAATAACTTTATAGGTCCCACAGGAATGATGAAAGCAATTAACACTCATAATTCTCCCCATGATTCTGCTAGCACACCTCTTTTCCAGTCATTCTGCAGCCTTCCTGGAACACTGGCTTAATTTTCACTGCTATTTCATATAATTTTTTACACTCGGCTTTTTCTGGGTTAAGTTGCACACCTTTTTCTCTTACACTCCAAAGTTTCTCCCAAGGCAATCAATTCACTTCCACGACCTCAAATATCATCAACATGTCAGTAATTGTCTATCATATTCTTCAGTAAAGTCCCTTTTTCTAGCATTGGATGCCTAGATGAGATCCTCACTTGATTATCTCAGATGAATCTCAAATCTGTGGTGTTCAAATGTAAAACTCAAGATCTGAAACTCTCAATCTTTTCCTGTAGCATCTGCATCTCCTAGATCAGAACAATATACTTGTTTTATCAGTAATAAGAAAGTCAGCCATGGCTCCAGCCTCTCTTTCAACTCCCATTGTTAAGTGAAACTATTTTCAGATTCCTGTGTAGTCTTAAAGTTTCCTGTTGTTCTTTCTGAGCATCAAACCTAAAGTCTTTAAAATGATTTCTAGGACCCTGCATGCTCTGTCCACTACCTAATCTTTTGTCTTACTTCATTCTTTTCTTAACATTCTTCTCTGTACCTATGTAACAATGGGATTCTTTCGGTTTCTAAAATAAAAAAACACCTACGCTGTTTCTTCCATCTGTAAGGTCTCAATTATTCCTGCGTCAAGTTCTCAGAATACCATGTTGTTTGTTCTCTGTATCAGATAGTTGTGTTATGGGCTATACAAGGAGCAGTTTACTCAATGGTAACTAAATTTCAGTTGTAAGAACATTTAATCAACCCATGCCCTCATGAGTTGGAAGCAGGAAGTTCAAGGATTGGTAGAAAATTTCAGAATCATTATCTGAGACCAAAACTTTTCTCTTTGATTGTCAAATTGTTCATGTCCACTTTTCAATTTAGTATTATTTTCTTAGAGTTTTTTTTAAAAAGTAGCTGCCAGAAGCCCACATGTGCTGTTCTGACTCAACCGTATTCATGCTAGGAATGGGAGACAGAATGTTCTCTTGTGTATATTACCTTTAGCAGAAAGTTTAAAAATTCCTCAAGAACTCTATCGCATTTATGTTATATCATATTGTAAATATTTGAACATCTAAGATAGAAGGGAGAGAGGGTTAAAATGACTGAATGAATACATAATTAATAGTATCTGATAGTCTTCATGGAATTTATCAAAATGCCAGTAAAATTAAACATGTGTTTTTCCCCTATTGTCTCCTCTATATTACAAACTTTCTACCTATACTAAACGTGTCCACTTTATAAACCCAGAATCAGCATAGTGCCTAGCATACATAGAAAATTTGTATTGGTTGATTAAATAGACCAATGAAAAAATATGAAAGAGAGTAACAGAGGCAGCAAATAGGTATGAAAAAGAGAGAAAACTGCCAGTACCAATGTCCTTAAGCTAATGCCAAATCTCATCTTGTGGTTTAGTGATCCATACTAGTTAAATTGAAAACAGTTTTTCTTCAAAAAATAGGCAATTTTGAAGGTGTTCAAATCTTTGTTCAATAAATGTGATTTTCTTAACTTCTTAATTCCTGCCATGTGAGTAGATAAGGGTATTATTGAGATAGAGGAATAAAGTCTTCTAAAAACATGTAACGTTAACCTTTGTTATTGAATTATATCATGCAGAAAATTTTAAATTGCTGCAAGTACATACATTTAAACCAATTCTTGGATAAAACATTATCATTCAAACAGAAAAATGTATAAAATCTAGTAAATCATATAAGAGTACTCATAAAATTTTTGGTTTAAATTTTCCACTCCTGAGAGCATCACATCAATAGATAAGGATGTCATACAGATTGGATGAACAGGGAAAAAGAGCATATAAAATAAATATTGGGACGCACACAAAAATATCAGGCGCATAATCAGGTTTGACTGATTTCTGTTCTTCTATCAAGAAGGAAAACCTACCTTACTCCAAATCCTGTCATATCCTAATTTATAACAATTGGGTTCATTAGTTCACAAATAATATAGCACTGTAGCACTGTCCTCCCATTTTTCATCGATTTGCTCCAGCGGGCACCAGTAATGTCTCCAATGTGAGACTTGTTGTTACTGTTTTTGGCATATCAAATATGCCACAGGGAGCTTGCCAGGCTCTGCCATGCAGGTGGGATACTCTCGGTAGCTTGCCGGGCTCTCCGAGAGGGGCAGAGGAATTGAACCCTGGTTGGCCACATGCAAGGCAAATGCCCTACCTGCTATGCTATTGCTCCAGCCCCACAAATAATATAACAATTTTTAAATAACTTTTAATATAAGAACCATCACACCTTGATTAAAAAACTTAAAATAATTCTCAGGTGCTAGAGAAAGAGTACAGCAGGAAAGACACTTCCCATTGTCATGACTGATGGAGATTCAATACCTAGGGACCACACACGGTACCCAAACCCTGCCAGGTGTGAACCACTGAGCAAAGAAACAGTAATAAGCCCTAAGCAACACCTAGTGTAACCCTGACCCCAGATCCCAAAAGCTAAATGTTTTTAAAAACAATTGACTATAGTTAACTTATCAATACAATAATAAATACATTAATGTTCTGAGAGTAGCATACCCAAGAAGAATCTGTTCATAGCTTCTAATGAAATGTTCATTCCACAAGACTCAAGGCCCTGACATAAAAATATCACAATTTTTGAAAATGTTGTAACTATCTGTACATAAGAGACTAGGATTTAAATTTTAAATATATTTTCCATTCGAAATAAAATTCTTTTTTTTTGAAATAAAATTCTTTAAAAAGAGAAAATGACTTTAGCTTTGGCAAAGGGAGTCCCCTGAGGGGGGGAAAATGTAAACAGATGGCTGAGAAAGATCACCCACACGCTGTACACAGATCTTGAGGAGGCATTTCTAAGAATGAAGTAGCACTTCCCAGCCTGGGCCACTTCCCACGAGGATCCTTATTTAACTCATGGAAAACACCAGGTTTATACCTTCAGCTAAGATGACCCTCAACAACTCTTCTCCCACTTGCTTCACAGTGATACAGACAAGTTTCCAACTCTTTCAATGTTTAAAAAAAAAAAGCAGCTAAGTTCCAACCACTTGAAACAGGCCTAATAAATCAATGTTCAAGGCTCAACCCAGAACTAACATCTTCCTGTATAAATGGGCTGTTAAGCCCTAGCTAAGCATATTAAGCATTCAATTTAATGTATGACACACATCTGTTCCACTTTCTCAACAAACAGAAGTTTCAAGATAACTTAAATCCCAGACTTAATCAAGAAGAAAAAAAACCTTGGCAACGTTGAAAGCTGAGTTTTGAAATATAATCCAAATGAAGGTGAGGGGGATCATCTTGCTATAACTAAGGAGATTATGCTCTACCAAAATTAAATCCACAAAATTACCTGTGCATAAACACTAGATCTTTTATCTGGATTAATTTATCTTTTCTTTTGATGCCATCAGCAATTTACCAAAGAATTTTACATCTGGCCCAGGATACCAAAATGTAAGCAAAAATTGGGTTCTCTGAAAACTTGGTTAATGAACACCTCTCAATACCCAACAGACAAAAGAGGAAAACTCACAGATCTGTCTTTAACAAGGAGAGCACAGCACTGAATTCCAGCCATCAGCATCTTGTGTGGGTTCCAGGCAACAGAGTCTGCTCTATTAAGTTAAACACAGAACAAGATGGGTGCAGGACTCAATTAGTTTCAGCTGGCAGAAAGAAGACCATCGTTACATCTACAATTCAACACTCATCCAACAGTCCATGCTCTACAAGGATTTTCTATTTAAGCAATTGGAAAATTTCTATATTTTTAAAAACAAATCAATTATTTAGACTTTTTGCTTATTTTCAACCTATCATCTCGGTCGGTTGGTCGGTCGGTCCTCCCGTTGTTCATTGATTTGCTCGAGCGGGCCCGGTAACGTCTCCATCATGAGACTTGTTGTTACTGTGTTTGGCATATCGAATACATCACGGGTAGCTTGCCAGGCTCTGCCCTGCGGGCGAGATACTCTCGGTAGCTTGCCAGGCTCTCCGAGAGGGGCAGAGGAATCGAACTCGGGTTGGCCATGTTGGCTGTGTGCAAGGCAAATGCCCTACCGCTGTGCTATCACGCCAGCCCAACCTATCATCTAAGGGGGAAAATCTTGAGGAGATACTTTTGCTTAAATAAAAAAGGTTATGAATTTACAAACTATACTTACCTGTGGATGCCATGCAGAAGCTTGCGATATTTTCTTGACATCAAAGCTGAGCCACCCCAAGAAGCCTGTTGAGATAGTAACATAAGACAAAATAATGCAATTTCAATGTCATTTGTTTACCAGCCCACTGTTATAAACCTAAGTGAAAATGTCAATCTCTCTTATTTGGTACATTGTGCTAGCTTTGATCAATTTGTACTATAGGAAAATCTGATCATAGGCAACCACTTAGATAATTAGAAACTCATTTCAATATATGGGCTTTCATTGGCTTGTAGGATTTAACTTTACATACCATTTAGAAATTGGTGCAGTAACCTCTTGAATTGCAGGCAGACAAAAACAGAGGTCCAAATTACACAGTCCATCTCCTTTTGAATATTATATAAACTACATAATATTTTTTAAATGTTCACCTTTAAATATACAAAATGTGTGAATGCTAGAATAAGACACAGGTAACGATGGCATTCTATATAATAAGTGAGGCCTATATAATAAATGGGATGAAGAGGCCAGAATACAATCATCCTCATATCACTAAGATAGGCTAGATTTTAATGGATCCAATTAATGTGAGTAAAAACTAAACAGTTTTCAGAAATATTTGAAAATAAAAATTATGACAGTGAGAAAAAAATATTTGAGACTTCCAGTTTTCTTTGGAGAGGTAAATATGAGGAAAGGGAAGAGAAGATGAGAAAAGAGATGGAAGTCAATAGATATGGTGGAGATGGAGGAAGAACAAATAAAGAAATCTGAAAGTCAATTTTGTTCCTTACATTGAGCAGGCTTCTAAGTTTTAATGTGTAGGCAAATAAAAGATGGTTGAGAGAGGGAAAATGAGGAGATTAGCTTGGGTTATAATGAAGACTATGTGGTTATTTAAATTACACAAAAGCTTGGGCACGAGTCATAATGTAGCAGTAAGAAGGTGTTGTCTTGCATGTGGCTGACCCAGGTTCAATCTCCAGCATCATCAGGAGTGATCTCTGAGTGTAGAACCAGGGGTAAGCCCTGAGAACCACTAGGTGTGACCCAGAAACTGAATACATAAATTGCACAAAACTTGCATCGAGAATGGCATTATTGCTTTGATATTTTTATTAAAAAACAAATTCAGAGGTTGTAGAAAATGGTCCAAGTTCTCAAAGGTAATAAAAGCAAATCCTGGGAGCCAAAATGCATTTCTTTTTCACAGTATCATTGCAATTTAGGGAAATGTCTATTTGGTGAAAAGAGCATAGAGCTCTGAGAAGTAGGAAAGTAGAGAAAGTACATTAAGGAGCTGCCAAGGAGGCAAATAAAGGTTACTCCACTTCTGACTACAGATTTTAAAAGAAAAATAGGAGTTCCTCAATATTATGTCGAAGGAATTGGCAAGATTATGCACACAATGAATGTGGAAGAGAGGAAGTAAATGGGATATTTTATGATCCTTAGAGTTTCCCAAAATCTGAGTTCATAAAAGTAAAGGTAAGGTAAAGGTAAAGGCCCTCCCGTTGATCGTCGATTTGCTCGAGCGGGCCCAGTAACGTCTCCATTGGAGACTTTGTTGTTACTGTGTCTGGCATATCGAATACTCTCGGTAGCTTGCCAGGCTCTCCAAGAGGGGCGGAGGAATCGAACTCGGGTCGGCCATGTTGGCCGCGTGTAAGGCGAACGCCCTACCCGCTGTGCTATCGCTCCAGCTTCATAAAAGTAGCAAACAGAAAGTACACCTCAAGTTACTGTGTGGTCATAAGACCAACTTACCAAGAACTATTTCTGATGAAGGAGATAGTGTAGGAATTGAAAAGCATAAATTTCAAACACCCTACCCTGTTCAGTCCTCTGTACCTCTAGGCCTCCCAGGACATCTCAAGGTTGACCTTTGAGATCTCCAAACAATAAGGTGAGGTCCTGAAGTCTCCTAAACAGGCCTGGGATGGCCTGAGGGTCTACAGCACTACAGTGCCAGAGCAGCACTGGATCTTTAGGCAGACTGGGGGAGGTGGGAGGGAACCTGGGGGCATTGGTGGATGGAGAGGGAGCACTGGTGGTGGGATTGGTGTTGGAACATTTATGCCTGAAATAACTTTATTTGTAAATCATAGTGCCTTAATAAAGAAGAAAATATGAACACAAAAGTCTTACTTGCTAACCCTTAGCTCCATGCCTTTTTTCCATAAACTTATCTCCAACAACTTCCTGGAGTTCCCAAAGGTGATACACATGCGAATCCAAGAGATTCCCAGATGTAGAAGAAATGACTTGTGCTAAATGATTATGGATTAAGTCCCCATACTGCTGCATTCTCTCCCCAAGAAGAAGTCACCATAGAGCATGTGCAAACTAGGCTAATCTACCAGAGGTAACAACTCTGGCATGTAGACAGGCAATGTCATTATCACCAATGAAAAGAAAATCCCCTGAACAGAATTTTGAGATCGTGAATCTCACAAACACTAAGAAGATTTATATATTAGATTCTTTTACTTTCATTATATACTCCAAACTTTTAGTTACATTTTTTTCTCACTTTTTTTATTCCTCAACCTCAATAAGAATGACCAATGATAATGAGGAGAAGAATTATAAGACCCAGCCATACTTTTTACTTCCTGTCCCACACTCTATTTGACACTCCTTCCTGTTTCCTTTGTATCTACTTCCTCCCTTAATTCAATAGCAAATATTTTCCCAATCCTAGTGGGCTGGATCAAAGCTTTTAAAATCACACAAATTCTTTCAAGACATTTATTTACAGAGTAGTGTGGTACAGTTGGGAATAGCTCATTCAAAAATATGCTCCTCAAGAGAGCTGAAAAAGACAGGAAAACCCCTGGTAATGTTCTATTATTTTCATTCTCTGAATCTTGAGCTTTAAAATTAGAAAATAAATAAATTAATTAAATAAATAAAACCAACCATTTCAAAGAGTAATTTAGAAATATATTAAATGCAAATATTATGGGAATACTCAGAGTTGTAAGCTTAATTAGGTGGGGTTTTTTTTTGGTTGTTTTTTTTTTTCTTTTTTGGTCACACCCAGTGATGCAGGGCTGGAGCGATAGCACAGACTTAGGGTGTTTGCCTTGCACACAGTCAATATGGCCGACCCTAGTTCAATTCCTCCGCCCCTCTTGGAGAGCCTGTCAAGCTACCGAGAGTATCTCACCCGCACGGCAGAGCCTGGCAAGCTCCCCGTGATGTATTCGATATGCCAAACACAGTAACAACAAGTCTCACGATGGAGACGTTACTGGACCCACTTGAGCAAATCGATGAACAATGGGAGGACCGTGAAAAGAGGGAGAGACTTTCATTTTATTGATGTCATTTATTGAACTATTGCTACTTGTTTGGTATTATGGTTGTCATTTTTCTTTCTCTTATCTCTTTAACTAGTAAATTAATTGTAGGACCAGTGAGGGAGTAGTAGCAGGGAAACAATCAAGACCTGGCAGTGTGTAAACAGTTCAAATAGCCATTGGTATATGACTGAATAATAAAGAGGTGGTAAACTCACACAATGGAATGCTACTCAGCAATACCCACCCCAAAGAGGAATATTTTGCCATTTACAGTAAAATGAAAGGAAACTAGAAATATAAAAAGTAAAATAAATCATAAGGAGAAAGACAACTCTTGGATGATTTTCAGCCATGAGTGTCATAAAAGGGAATAGGAGATAGGAATGACAAAGTATAAATATATTAGTGGTCATTGACAACAAAATTGAAGTTTCCAAAAAGGAAAAGAGTATTATTTTTTGTTTGTTTAAAAACCATATCTGACAGAGTCTAACCCTTAGAATTTTCAATAAAATGTTTATTATCTGGGAGTTGAAACAAGAATGGGTGAGAAACTTTAAGGAGGTTGGCCAAGAGTATGAGGCTTTCAGTAACCCCAACCTTTGACTCATAAAATGCTAAGCACCCTGACATGTTCTCTGAGGCTGTCTGGAAAAATAGTGTAGAAGACAAAATTCTTAACAAAACCCAAGTTGTTTTTATTCAGTTGTTTAAAAATGCATTTTAATTAAACAAATTAAAGATATAATCAAATGTAAAAGTGATCATTTTATTGCACACAGTAACAAAAAAAACTACATTAAGATTTCAGAAATATTAAATATTTTTAAAATGCACATGATTTGGCATTATGCAAGCAAGTTGGGATTTGGGAGAATCCCAGAAGAACAAGCAATTATAATTACATTTTAAAATAAATAATAGTTTTTAATATCTACAAAAGATCATTAAAATACCTTTTAGAAAAAATTCTAACAGATCAAATTTCCAACTTTGTTAATTTTTTATGTTAAAAATTAAATAAACTACACAAGTTACGTGAACTTTCTTCTCAATAAATTATTTACCATGCTCCTGCATACATTTTAATCAATAGATTCGATGCCTGCAATCTTAAGGATAGTGAACATAAAGGATTTTATTGTCAGAACTAATCAATCAAGTTACTGTCAAATCAAACCTAAAATAACAAGGAATCACTAGATGCCTACTGTGTGCAAACAAAATAATTCATGTGACTTAAGTATTTTCCCATGAAAGCAGTTCCTTCAAAATTCAGACTTTAATTTTTAGAAGATCTAAAAATCTATTATACGTAATATACATATATATTACAATTCCAAGCCCCATAAATCTCTTAATATCATTCCCAGTATCATTCCCAATTTAGAAACTGCTGTAGTTACTCTGTTTTACATAACGATGTAATCCATATTTGATGTTTCTTTTATGAGAGTAGAATTTTAAGTATAACTGCTGATGTATTTTATTTTTTCCGCATTGCTAGAGTCACAAAGGTACTCAATTTATTTTATCTTTTAGGACATAATGTATTATTATGCTTCTAAGTCTATGAAAATCGATAAAATCTAAATTGAAATGTGAACAGATCCAAATACTACAATCCCACTTAAAGTCACAAATAATCTACCTGAAGCCTTGCCATTGGCATACTAAGAGAACCTGTAACACTAGTGAGTTTTATATTATTGCTGTTCTTATGAAATGTTAGCCTATATTTAACGAAAAACATGAGCTTCCGAAAACTCCCCTTCATGTCATAAATGTTGCATTCTAAAAACATAAAATTACCCAAACTATAAAATTAAATGTAGGTATATATTCCACATATTCACGTGTTAGACTCAAATAAAAAGTAATTCCCTTTTCTTCAGATAAGTTTAGGAAAAACTCGCTTGCAGAGAAAAGTACCTAAATTCCCATCAGCATGTTCAAGTTCATGCTATTGTGTTGAATTTAACTAATTCTTGATATAACAAAAAAAATGGAAGAAAGAAAGAAAGGATGGAAGGAAGGAAGGAAGGAAGGAAGGAAGGAAGGAAGGAAGGAAGGGAGGGAGGGAGGCAAGGAAGTAAAAGAAAAGGAAGGGAGGGAGGTAAAGAAAGAGGGAGGAAGGGAGGGAGGGAGGCAGGTCAGTTAACTGGGCCAGAGCAACATACTAAGTGCTTGCCTTTGTACAGCTAGCCCAGGTTCAATCCCAGGCAGTCTATAATGGGCCCCTGACCACCGCCAGGAGACATCCCTGTGTGCAGAGCCAGAAATAAGTGCTGAGCAGAGCCGGCTGTGACCCCCCCCCCCAAAAAAAAACTTATCAAGTCTTAAAAATTGGCTGAATTTAACTTTTTAACCCTATTTAAGAAGACTTTTAAAAGTTATATTTAATTAAGAAAAAAAATTCTATGAACAATGCCTGGACTTACGAAATTAATTAGAAAAAGGGCAAATTATTTAATTAGAAAATTGTGAAGAATACATTATCCAAATTCCTCTCCAATAATTATCTACGATAGATCCAGATAAGGCTTTTTTTAATTATAGCCAGTAATAATGTAATGCAGATATTTCACATTTTTCTGGCTGACTAAAATCATGTTATTTTAGAACTAGAAGACACATTCCAGAACCATTTTTTCTTTTCAAATGAAAAAACCAGAGCTCAAAAGACTACAATTACAATGAAGAAGTCAAATTAGAACCCCAAATTTTGACCCCATATTTCAAAATTCAGGCTATACCATGCTATCTCAACAAAGGGGTGTTTCAAAGGATCAAAAATCATTCATGAGAACACAGGAAACAAATGAAATTCAGAAAGCGAAACAAAAATCAACATTCTTGGAACTTTAAAACAATTATTTATGATTTATAAAAATTTATTTTTAAATAAACATGCTTCAAAATGGCAGGCTTTTGTTTCCTAATCAGAAAGACCCACTTAAGTAAAAGCCGAGGAACTCACAGCTAGTTTTAAGAATATGAAGAACCACTCACCAAAGCTGACAACAGACTACAAAGTTTCACAAGTATATAATACAGATGTGCACATAGAGATGAACTTACATCCACATGAAGCCAGAGACCATGCTGTTCACAGATGTCAGCTATTTCATCCAGAGGATCAAAGGCTCCCAGCACGGTGGTTCCAGACGTGGCACAGACAAGAAATGGTGCTGCTCCCTGAGAGAAGGGTTCACACACAGAATTGTCACTGCCACTACTAAACTCAGTCTCTGGTAGGTGAGTAAACAGAAGTGTTATACGTGCTGACGTGAATTTATTTCTTTGAAGACACTCATTAATTGAATATTTTTAAACTGATATATATATATATATATATATATATATATATATATATATATATCCCTGGTCTTTATCAACAGATGAAAGAAACTAAGAAGGAGCTATGTCCATCAGAGTCATTTGTCTCATCTCAATATGCAAATCTTTGATTTTTACTCCCTGATTCCCTCTGATGCCTTTTCTATTCTATAAATCCCCCAGTAAAAATTTAACCTCAACTGCAAAGGCAAACTTGCATTTTAATTCCTGATTTTATTATGGGCAAGAGTCAGTAGGATTTTCACAGTTGCCAACAATCTTTTTACAAAAAAAAAAAAAAAAAAAAAAAAAAAAGGAGGCTGGGAGAGGATACAGCAAGTAGGCCAATTGCCTTGCCCACAACCCAGGTTCAATCCTTTGCACCTCAAAAAGGACCCCTAAGCCCCACCAAGAGTGATCCCTGAGTGCTAGAACCAGGAGTAAGGCCTGAGTACTGCAGGATATGGCCCCAAATCCAATAAAAAATAAATAAAAATAAAACGCAACATGAGTAGAAAATGGGCAGTTCCAGGAACCAGCCATTCAAACCTGTCTGCTTGCCTTTTTCTGAAGTCAAAGACTGTACTCAGGTACAAAAATGCTATCACAGGGGATAAGACCATCTCCAGAACAGTGTGATCAGAGTAAGCTGAAGAAGAGAACCTGCCTCCCTCCTACCATGATCATTCCTTCTCACTCAGTGGACAGCTGCATCTTGTAGAGTGAACAGGTGCCAGTGGGAAATGAGGAGAAATGGGAGAGCAGGTAGCACATGCAGAGATGAATTCGAGCCCAAAAGGCCAAGCACCATGACCCATAGGGGACTTTACGGAAAACAGGTAGAGAAGAATACATGAGGTTGTTTCCAAATGGATCCATCCTAGCATGCTGACACAGGTATAATGTTACCTATGAAAGTTCCTTGGAGGCAAAAATTTATAGATAGAGTTGAGAGTAGGAGAATCAACTAAAATCCTAAATTTCTAAAGCACTGCATTGTAGCACTGTCCTCCCGTTGTTCATCGATTTGCTCGAGAGGGTCCAGTAACGTCTCCATTGTGATACTTGTTGTTACTGTGTTTGGCATATCGAATATGTCATGGGTAGCTTGCTAGGCTTTGTCGTGCGGGTGAAATATTCTTGGTAACTTGCTGGCCTCTCCGAGAGGGGCAGAGGAATCAAACCCGGCTCAGTTAGGCCAGCAGCTTGCAAGGCAAACACACTACCGCTCTGCTATCGCTCCAGCCCAAACCTGAGGAATAAGTAGAAGAATGTTTACTGCCTACAGAAGTCATTTTACCTCTATTTAGAGTGAAATCATTTTTTCCTCTGTTGGATCTTGAAGTGCAATTCTCATAGTAATATGTTTCACGTATGTCAGAGGATGGTCAGGTAGAAGCATATTCATTCCAGTTCAACTGACCTTGGAAAGAAGCTACTTCTCTGGGTAAAGTAAGGCAGAGGAAAGATGCCTGACCCACATAAAAAGTTGAAATGTCTGGGAATCAACATTACAGTAGCTAAAGAATCTATGTGCCACTGGGGAGACAATAGTAACACATGGAATCCACTCCAAACCAGAATGTTAGCACAAGGTCAGTAAGTGACAAAGTCCCTGGGGAACCCCATTTGGGAAACTCTATTCTCTATTCAAAAACCAAACAATTATGTCTTTGTCATATGAGTGAGCTAAATGAAACAAGATTTACACAGACCTTTGAAAGCAAGAAAGCAATGTTTTACAACCATTGAAGGTGTCATTAGTGGCTGAAATTTTCCTCATAAACTATATGACTTACTGACAGTTTTGAGAAAATACCCATATAAGCTATAATAACCTATTGAGTTTTCTGTGCATTTTAATAATCTATCTATATATATATCACTGAGAAATTAAATGTTAGTGATCTTAACTTTAGGTATTTTTCCCTTCTCATATCTCATGATGTTTTTGAGAGAATTAACAGACACAGTGTTGATGTTTGTTGTTGATAAAATGTATTCCTAAGAAACTCTTTCATTTTAAAGACACACTAAAATATTTTCAAATACACACTGATTACACCAGTTAGATCTTTTAATAAACACTTCAGAAGCTCTGGTGCTGCTGTGTTCTTCACCATCTCTGTAGTAGCATCAGGAAATAGCATCATTGCCCAACAGATTTCTAACGGACTGTGACTGGCCAGGAAATTAAATCCCAGCAGAAAAAGAAATTGACATACTATTTCCTACATCTGCACAATTTGAGTTAAAAGTTTGAAACAGAAACTGGTCTGAAACTACTGAGAAAAATAAACTAGTCATCAGGTATAAAAATCTCAGAACAGATGTGAGGTTTGTCCTTGGTGAATCCAGACTCAAGTTTTTAACTGACTTGAAAGAAAACTTGAGAAGACAAACCAACTCTCACCCCATTGCCCTACTTTTAAATGTGCCTAAAGCAATTTTTACTTTTAAAAAACTCCTCTTTTCAAGTTCTCAACTTTAGGAGATGTCTGTTTCACACTTTCAGTATTAAAAACAAATAATAAAAACTATAATGACCAGTGAAATAAAAGCCATCAAATATGCAAGAATATGAATTCTTAATGATAATCAAAATTGGTACCAAGTTTTGGCTATCTTTAAGGAATGGTAGATAATTAAATTAGTCCTCTGAATATTGACAAAAAAGGGAGAAAATCCATTATCCTCCCTCGCCTGTGTCAAGTCTCTCTCCTTGGGGAAACTAAGTAGAGATGAGAGACTATTTTTCTTTAAGTAGTATGCCAACAAATGAAGAAGGAATAGAAGCATTAATTAGAATATTGACTAATAAAACAATGGGACTATACAATGACCATCATTGGCAGTGAGGGACTGAAGTAGAGCTCTATAATAGATTCACTGCCAGAAGTTAAACTCACCAATCAATGAGAACAAAAAAGTAACACATGGTATTTCCGATGGATAGTTTTCCGATGGAAGGCTTCCACCCTAGAAGCCTTCCCTGTAAAAATTTCAATCTGAATCTAAAAGAGTCTCAATATCTGACTGCCAAATAAGAGAAACTGGAGAAATCTTACAAGTGGCACAGGAAAGGAGAATATTTAGGACCTCGAGTTCTATGAGTAATCTGCACTATCTGTAATGTGGAAACTCAGTCAAGAGTACAAAGGATTGGGGCTGGAATGATAGTCTAGCAGGTAGGGTCTGTACCATGCACACAGTCAATCTGGGTTTGATTCCCTTACACCTTATGTGATCTCCCAAGCACAGCCAGAAGTGACCCCTGAGTGCAGGGGCAAAAATAAACCCTGAGCCCAACTGGATAAGGTCCAAAAACAAAAACAAAAAAAGTTCAAAGGATCTGATTTCTTCACCAGGCCAGAAGGAACAGAGTGAAGCTACTTTCTAGACATTTGAAAATATTTATGTCATGAGTCAGCCAGAGAGAACATGTGAACCTTAACTGAATGCATATTCACATGTAAAATATTTATACTAAAAAAGCTTTTGAAGAATTTTAATTTAGAATAAACATCTAATGATATTATGACACTACTGTTTCTTCTAAAAGTAGTATGTTTTTGGAAAATGTGTACATATATTTTAAACATATGCAAAGCTTTTTATGGATAGAATGCCAAGATATGTATAATTTACTTTAAACTATTCTAGTAGTGGTCAGAGAGAATGCAATATACATATGAGAGAGCGGAGTTTATACTAATAATTGTTGATGCTGCATGATGTATATGCAGTGGCTCATTATATTAGTTTTATATGTTTAAAAAGTTCTGTGAAAAGATTAAAATTTAAGAAGTAAAAAAATGTAGAGATAAAGTGAGAGGGAGGAATAAAGGAGGAACCTTATGAAAATCACCATCAAGATTTCTCTTTTACAAGTGTTAACCACAGAACAAAGACCTTTTTGGTAGCAACTTCTAGGAGGGGAAATTAAAATCTTTTTAAAGCTACCTAAAAGTAATATTAAAGTAGAATACATTATCTGAGGTTCACAGCAGTACAAGTAGGTTATAATGCAAAATTTTACTCAAATCAAAGGCATAAGATAATCTGTAGTTCCAGACAACTATCAGATTCACTTGTCATGGGAATACTTCTTTAAAGGATAAATGTATATCTAAGGAAATACATTTGAAGCCAGTACACCTACAATAAAAGCAGAATTTTAAAGTCTAGACTATCAAACCAAGGAAAATTATGTGGCATGCGGTAGAATAAAGTGACTTTTATGAAAAAAATAAGTACAAAGAGTAAATAACACAATTCAATATTAAAAGTTAAAACAATAAAGAACCAATCTCTCATAGAATATTAAATCCTATGTAAAGAGATAAAATAATATCCCAGTAGGAAGCTAGACTTTTTCATTAATTCAAAATCATGCCTATGTTCATCACACAAGCATTATTTGTAATCATCAAGGTACAGCGACAACCTAAATGCCAAAGAATGAATGAGTGGATAAAGTAATTACCTCAATATAATGTAAAAAAAATAAGTCTTTAAAAACAGGTTTCAGGGCCAGCTTTAGCCCTTAAGGTAATCGGGGCCATGCCTGGCCTGCCCTAGTAATGGGCATGCCAGCTTTAACAGTTCTGGCAACTAAGAAAAGGAAGGCATTCTGCCACACTGAGGCCCAGAGCCATGATACAGGGATGATTTTAGAATGGGCTTTGGTGGAAGCAACCTGGCAGATTATGTTGATGAAGAAATCGGGGATCATTCTCTATGCAACTTAGAGACAATTGATTTGGCCTGCAGAATTCTCAGAGTCAGGAGATATGGAGGAGTGTGGAACGTGGGACCCTGCTGGAGAGGCTGGATTCATCTGTTAAGCTTAATTTAAGCAAGAATCCTGAATACGGTGATGTCAGTGTTTTAATGGGCTCCGGCCACCTGGGAATGAGAACATCCGAGAAACTCCACAGAATATGGAGAGCCAAGCACCTGGAAATAGAACATCTGTAAATGAGTTTTCCTATTTTAACTGCAACACACTCTCTTCTCTCGCCCACACACAGAAATGGATCTGACAGCTTACATTTCCTCACAGGCATTATCCCTCCCATACCCACACATATGCATTCGTTTTCTTTCTTTCTTTTTTTTTCTTTCAACCCTCTTACCTCTTTTTTGGCTTGCCAGATTTGTTTGTCCAGTTCCTCAGGTATCATTTTACCCCTAAAAAATACCAAATTGCAAAGGTGTATTTAGTAGTGTATAGAAGTCTGGCTTTTAACAAGTATAAATCCCTCCGTCCACCAACCAGGCATCTAGATCCTGTCCCCATTACCTTCCATCTGTTTCCACAAAACAAACATTCTCTGTACCAATCCCAAGAAAGGAGGCTGCCTTCTTCATGGAATAATGGCACTAAAATTAAAAAGAACAAGAAGGAAGAGAGACACGTGAAAATATGACATGGAAAAAATAATGCTTATAATCTTAGTGGATTGAATCATATGGTTAAGCCCAATTTCACTCTCACATAAAATAAAAAGAAAATAGTGATTTAATTAAATCTCATAATCTAGAGGATAAACATTAACTCTGGGTCAGGGAAATCAGAATTTAATGCCAAGTATTCCCGTAATAGTTACAAGACCTTGAGAAAACAATCTAAGCTCCACAAACATCAGTTTGCTAACATATAAAATAGCCATTCTATGTCTACTCCATCTGCTTGTCATAGAATTAAATGCATGAGTATATAGGAAGGGTTGAACACAGAGTCTGGCATAAGGAATAAACTTGGTCACTGGAGATTATTGTTTCCATAACACTGACTTAAGTTTCTCTTAATGTTACTAAGACAACTCTAGTATTTATGGAAACTGAATCTGGTCCACTGCTGACCTGGATCCCCCTAAGGAGATAGCAAGATTTTCTTCAAAGATTTCTATCACAGACCACAGAATAACTTATTTTCAAAAGCAAAAAATATGTAATAGACACTAATCAGATACTTAGCCAATCTTGTTTAATATTGAATGAAAGACTGAATTTAGATATACAGGGAAGTGACTAAAATTAAACAAAATGGATGATAATCTATAGGAACAACTTTATGAATGAGGCTAATAGAGGGTTCTGGAATTAGGGCTAATTTGTTTCTTATGGGCAAATAGTGGCATATGCTTTAGATTGCTGGCTATTTTTTCTCCTGTACCAAATAAAGCGGGTAGAATAATTAGCATTCAACATTAGAGAGAGTGCTCTTTATACATTAATGTGGACAGGTGGTCAATTAATTCTTTTCCATGCCAGAAAAATGAAGGTGCTAAAGGACATTATTGTACCAAAAACCTTAGTAATTTAATTTGTAGGTATAAATACATTAAAAGAGTAGTCATGACTTCACACTTAACTTGATATATTCCCCCCAAATGTGGCAATTTTTTTCTTCTTTTGTCAAGAGAATTTTACTGAGAGCTCTTTCTTTTTAACTCCCTGGAAATAGATGCGAAAATAACAGCATCAAGAAAAATGAAAGCATCCTAAATAATTAATTTCCAAATATCAAATAGGATAAGTCCAAAATGCCTTTAGGATGCATTCATTTCAGGTTGTTACAAGAACATATACATATTAAAAAGTAATAATGTACAATTAATTCTCTACATGCTTCATCAACCCATCATAGCTCAGATAAATATAAGGTATATTATTTCTTGCCTGAGATTTGGGCTCTGGCAACCAAATGCCTATTTGATTTCATAATAATAAATACTGGTATTTGTCTCAAATCAGAGTCAACAATTGGTGCTCTGAGAAATAAAATCCCCCACCCCATTCACCACACACACACACACACACACACACACACACACACACACACCTAATGAATCAATTTAAACCTGAATAAAACCTGGTCATCAGAATAACTATAACTTCAATAGAATACCTCAGAACAGAGTAGAGTCCAATGTCAATCTCAAATGAATAGGGACAGATTAGTAAAAATCTGCAAAACTGGAGCCTATAAACAACTGAAAACATCAGAGAAAGAAAAGAACCTTAGAAGGGGAATAAAAGAATGAGGGTGACACTTCCAACATGCTGGCAGTTTGAGGAGAAAGAAAAACCTAGAAGGCTAGAGTTCAGAAGTAACGGATGCAGTCAGAAATAAGCAGTGACTGCTGCCATCACTGGCAAAAGATAAGTCAGTCCTTCTAAGTAAGATCCAGCCTCCTCTAGGTTTCATTTGTCTCTGGAAAGATGTAAAAATTTCAGTGGGGGTTCATTCCTATAAAGATAAAACAGCGAATGCCTACATGAAAGGCAGGACTGTGCTAAAGTTTTTTTCTTCTGCTGCTGGCAAGGACTTTTCCTTTGACCTTGGGTTTCTTCAACAAATTACTGTTTTTCCCTCCACTTAGGCAATGTTTCGAACACTTGGACTCCTTTCTGGACTGACTAGTTTGATGTACCAATTAGTTCCCAGTCATGGGGGAGAGCAAGGTTTGCAAAAGTTTCATATTAGGGAAGGCAGAAAAAGGCATAGGGAAATTCTTCAAAAGCAGAGAGCTGATTCAGTTCCTGAAAGAATATGAACTGAAATCCAGGTCTCATGTTCAGTATGTCACCTTAGGAAGCACCCACTTGGTTATGAACAATAGCTATAGTGATACCCAGCATAGGTTGGTCTCACCTAGAATGCATGGTCAAGGTTAAGATTAAGTGAATGTGACCCAATAGGTTATGTTTTACAAAGATCCTAACACATGCCTCTCACATTTTCCCTGAGCTCTAATTCTTTTTGAGATGAATGAGGATTGCTGAGCAGTGGCTTAAGCAGCAAAAGTTCCTTATCTCCTTTCAAGTTTCAGTGGCAGGATGATAATTTTTTTGATTACTAAAATGATTTGTCCAGGATTTTTATGAATCCAGCACTCCTACATGCCCAGGAAATTCAAATAAGCACTCGACAAGACACAGATTTTTTTCTTTGATTACTAAGTCTCCTTTTCATTAGTTTCTACTTAGCAGTGAAAAGGTATATCGATATGTTGATAGCATTGGTGTCTGTCATGATCTCTTAAGTGTCCATGAACAGCTAAATTACCATCAAAATATGCAAGCTGCAAAAATGCTATAAATGGTTGGTGTATATATTCTATATTTGAGACATAGAGTAACAGTACTCCAAGATAGCATAAATATTGAAAAAGACAATCTAGTAAAACAATACTAGGAAAATAATAGGGTGGCCATAGGCTAACCAGGGGATGAGGGGAAGTGTGTGTGTGTGTGTGTGTGTGTGTGTGTGTGTGTGTGTGGTGGTGGTGGTAAACTTAGTAAAATTATCCCATTCTTAATTCTTTGTTTTTTGACTAAAGAATGGACTAGTTTGTTCCAATAAACAGAATGTTGATCACTAACATATGAATGAAAATAATGCAAATGCTATGATCTTAGTGTCTTTGGCACAGCAGAGACAGGAATAAGTTACAACTTGGTCTCTGGACATATGACAGGGGGAAATACACATTCCAGGTTAGAGTGTATCCAAAGCTGTGGATACAATCCACAGATTCCATGGAATCTATACTCATTTTTTAAAATTGAACCGTGTTACAAAGCTTTCATGTTTGAGTTTCAATCATACAATGATCAAATACCCTTCCCTCCACCAGTGCACATTTTTCACCACCAATGTCCCCAGTATCCCTTTGGTTACATTCCCCTGCTTCTATGGCTCACAATTTCCCCCATACTCTCTTTCACTTTGGGGCATTATGGACTGAAACATAGATACTGATAGGTACATGTTTGGCCCTTTATCTACTTTTGGCATACATCTCCCATCCCAAAAGATTCCTCCAACCATCACTGACTTAGTGATCCCTTCTCTATTCCAACTGCCTTCTCCCCCAGCTCATGAGGCAGGCTTCCAACTATGGGGAAATATTCCTGGCCCTTGTGTTTATTGTCCTTGGGTGTCAGTCTCATATTATGTTATTTTATATTCCACAAACGAGTGCAGTCCTTCTCTCTCTGTCCCTCTCTTTCTGACTCATTTCACTTAGCATGATACTCTCCATGACCATCCACTCATAAACAAATTTCATGACTTCATCTTTCCTAAAAGCTGCATAGTATTCCATTGTCTACATGTAACCAAAGTTTCTTTAACCAATTGTCTGTTCTCAGGCATTCTGGTTATTTCCAGATTCTGGCTATTGTGAACAGTGCTGCAATGAACATACAAGTGCAGATGTTATTTCTACTGTGCTTTTTTGCACCCTTGAGATATATTCCCAGAAGTGGTATTGTAGGGTCATATGGAAGCTCAATTTCTAGTTTCTTAAGGAATGCCCATGTTGTTTTCCAAAAAGATTGGACCAGTAGGCATTCCCACCAACAATAAAAGAGATTCCCTTTCTCCCCATATCCGTGGCAGCACTGGTTGTTCTTGTTCTTTTTGATGTGTGCCAGTCTCTGATGTGAGATGATATCTCATTGTTGTTTTGGAAAACCATACTCTTATGGGCTTGAACTAGTGTGTTCTTTCAAAATAAAGAGATTCAATCCCTACGTTAAATTGTGCTAGTATTAAGATTTAGTCATGGGAACAGGGTACTCATGGGATTGGTGCACTTAGAAAAGGAAGACAGAGGGATGACATACTCTGTCATCATGCTCTGCAAGCATGAGCAAAGAGAAGACCATGAGAGCACAGTATTATTTAAACGCAAGTGGTAGGCCCCTATCAGACCTATTGGGTCTGTCAGCACCTTGACTATCATGAATTTTCAACCTGCAGAACCATGAGGAAATAAATAATTATTGCTGAAATTACTCAGTCTAAGGTACTTATTATAGATGAACTAACTCAGACATATATAATCCTTTTCTGGCAACATATTTTTTGTCATGTTAACAAAGACTAATACCTTGCCATTTTTTTCACATATATCTCCAGTAGAGATATGTGTGAGTGTGTGTGCGTGCATATTTTTTTGTTTGTTTTACAGGTGCATGAAACTTCCTTTTTCTTTCAGTTTTTCAACTACAACTGTGATTTTTCCTGGGAATTATCTTCAATCTAGACTTCCATGGAATTTCTTCCTCCTCCCAGGGAAATTATTTTGGAAAATGACTTCAGCAGGTTTTAAACCAAATGAAGGGGGGGAAAAAGCAATGGAGGAAATTATGAGTGGAGAGCAAAGGCCTTATCTAACCAGTCTTCCAGGCACAGAAATTCAACTGAGAGAACTATGAATTTTTGCTCTGCAAGGGTTCTTCATAGTGAAATAACAAGGGTTGGAATCTAGAGAAGGAAACCCTATACTACAAACCCTATTCCAAATCACAAAACATTCTCCCAAAAAAAGTCCATATTCCAAATCCTTCTTTTCTTACTACAGAATGATTTATTCAGCTTGGGTGGCTGAGCTAAAAATCTTGGGCTAGACAGATGATTGTTCCCCGCTGCCTCCAATACTGGACACCACTTTGCACTGAGTGCTGAACTAGCCAGAGCAAAGGTCAGGGCAGGAGGAAAACAAGGGTGTGGACAGGTTCCCTTCTATTGCCCACCTCTTAGTGTACAAGTTATTCTTTATTGCAAAAGGACAAAATGATAAAGTCACTGTTGCTTTTGAAAGAAAATAACAGATACAGGAGACCCCAGCTGGAAATAACAGAAATTTCCGTTTTTGTCCACCCCCTGTGTGGATTGAGATTCCTAAACTGATTGAAGAGAGTATAGAAATTAAACCTTGTCTGCAAGGGATGTGGGGAAGAAACATTGTTGGCAGAGACAGAGGTATCCAGTGGAATCACAAAACAACCCAGAAACAAACAAACCAAACCCACAAAGGAATCTCTATCAGATCCGACTGCCCACAAATAGTGCCATTTCTTCAACCCAAATTATTATATCTGGATTATTCTCCTCCTACCACATAATTATGTGTTGTTGGCTTTGGACTACACCCAACAGTGTTTGGAGCTACCCCTCGCAAGATTTGTGTGATTTATTCCCTGCAGTAACTGGGGGACCACGTGATGTCAGATAGAACCTAGCATTCCTTCCTGCCAATCAAGTGCTCCTTGGTGATAGCATCCCTTTGAGCAATCTCCTAGCCTCTTTTGCTAAGAAGAGATAATGTGTTTTAACCTATATGTTATGTCCCAGAAGCTACTTCATATGCTTTATCTTCATATTCTTAATCTTTGCAAGACCTCATTAACTTGTGACTTCTAAGTTTATGCAACTATTGAGTTGCTTGAATAGCTTCCAACTGTATCACATTCGAGTATTGTCACTGTTCCCTGTATCCATACCATTTGACATAACATGAAGAACATTTCAGTGAATTTGTCTAAGAGGTAAAGGCTATTTTCCCACTTCTTGGATTTGGGTCCCAAAGTGGACTTACGTTGATTAGAAAATGAGATAAAACTGACAATGTGCCAATTCTGAGCCTAGAACTCAGGAGCCCTAGAGTATGATCATGTTCTTCACCTGCAACAATGTCCAGAGAAGACACCTGGGTTATCCTGCTGGAGGTTAAGAGTCACATGGAACAGAAACAATTCATTGTCCCAGCTAGCATTGTCCCAACTGAGCCACTATAAGAATATCATCAGCCAACCCAGTCTTGCAAGCACAAGAAAGCCCTTCCAAAAAAAGTAGAACTGTCAAGAAAAGACTTACAAAGCCCTATATGTACATGTAGCTTTAGGCTTTATACTTGATTTTTTGATAAATTATTAATAAAAAGGTCAAGCATTTTGTCCTTTTTCACAAATTAGGAAACTGAGGCAGAGAGAACTTGATTAACTTACCCAAGGTCACTCAGACTGTAACAACTAGAAATAGAAATTGAATCCAGGTGACCTAGTTCAAAAGCAATGTACAGATCCACCTTCAGACTTTCTACTTTGGTCAAGAGTAAAATGAGAGCAAGCACACTGTTTCTATTACTCAACTGTTTGTGTGTGATGTCCACTGTTACTAAATAGCTATCTTTCTTCTTGAAATATTCTTGTGCTTACCATTCTAGGCAACCAACTTTATGAGGAAAGGTGAGCAGAAGACAAGGTTGAGATCAGTAATCATCTAATAAATCATCTAATTTAGTTCTAATAAATAGCATAGTCAGAGAGTCACAAAGACAGCCCTTTCAAACTCAATGTTCTCTTTTCTCAAAGAAAACTCTACAGATTATAAATTTTAAATAAAGGTGAGACACGACATTGGGTGACTAGGGACACCTGAATTTCCTTTGGAATGAAAGATGCTGTTATATTTAGTCATGTTAATCACATGCCCTAAGATATAAGCACACTAGGAATCCCCAAATAAGCTAGTCCTCTTAAATAACGCATTTTGAGAAAAATCTATAACTGGTATCAAAAATAATTTTTTTACCTCTGCAGATGTGAAAAGGATTAATCTTGGCAACCCAGTCAGACCCTTTTCCTTAATGTCAGGATAATGCTTGTATCTAGCTAAATTCATTGCATACATATTGGACACTGAACCACCTGCAAAAACAAAATTAAGTGGCATATTTATAGCATGAAGTTACTGCTCCTTAAATACCAACTACAGTAGAAAACGTGGATGCTTCAGTGTAATGATGAATCCCTGTGTAAGTCATCTGCACACACCCCCACCCCCGCCTGTCACTACTCTGAGTGTTCTTTCGCAACACTTCCTCCTCTCCTTTCTAATAATTCCCTATCTCAGCAAAGAGGAAAGTTTTAGTTTATTCTCTGAGTTTAGTTTATTCCCTAGTTTTTTTCCCCAGATACAAATATGTCAAGGTATAAGCTTTGCAGTTAGGGCCAGTAACTCAAATTTCTGTAGTTACTAATCATCATTCTGTCATCTGATCAATACTATATCAATATAGCCTCATATCAGACTCTAGAGAAGGATAATGGGACAAAATAACAAACAAACAAATTTTTATTTAGCCCTCTCAAGTAAAATTGATTCAAACACTTGAAAAATTTATTGCAACCTTTCTAATCTCCTAGTATCAGATAATTTCTTTGATATTAATATAAATTCTAAGTATTAGACATCTCATTTTTTTCAGTAGTTAATTTACTAAGAATTTATACAAAATATTATCAGTTGACAGAATGGCACAGCAAGATTCTCACCAAGAAGTATTTTAGTATCTATTATTTTATAAAGCAAAAAATTTGTGAAAAGTCCTTATCATAAGATATGAATAAACTGTTAGAAGTTTATAATGAAAGAGAGATGATTATAAACAATTGTACTTACCTGGATTGAATATTCCATCCCCTTCTTTCCAACCAATGAATTCGATCATTTTTTTCAGAATCACTTCTTCCACTAACAGAAACACTGGGGACACCTCATACGTGTAACTAGACAGACATAAGACAACACTTCACAAAATGCACATAGACTTTTATTAAACCAGATGCTACTACAGTATATGTGGAGTCATTTGGAATATATCCATTTGGAAACAGAAAATGCATTAGCAGTAATAGTGTTAGTCTTAGTTAGAAAAATGTTCATTACTGGAGACCTTAAAAATAGCAAGCTACTCTGTGATTGTGTGTGTGTGTGTGTGTGTGGTAGGGGGGGTTCAAGGATCAAAGTCAGCTCTCATATATGCAATGTGTATGTGCTTTGCGGCTGAACCATAATCCTGAGCCCTACCTTTGATCTTAATTTGGAAGAAAACTTCAATTCCATCATATGAAATAAAGGTAAACCATCTGGGCTCTTTTTATTAGCCAGGAGAAATGGTATTTTACTCTCTGGATCTTTTGTATCCTAGCTAAAGAAAAGCTTTTGTCATGGTAACCAAGTTTTATTAGGTGACTGCTAGAGTTCTACAAGAAGACTATCATTTTGAACTAGAGCTCTCAACACCGCACTCTTCTGTCTGCGTAAAAGGGGATTGTGCTGTGAAATCTCAAGTGATAACATTACTCTGGAGCACCACCCAGACCTGCTATCAGTGAAGATTCTGTTACCCTGAACTAGAACAATACTATCAGGGAGCACAGCCAATTTGACCTATCTAAGAATTGCCTCAACTGCAGAGAACCCCCTTTTTGAGGGTAATACCCTTTCCTGTTTTATACCCTACTTAGTAATGGTCTAGCTGAGGTGTAAAGACCTGGCCTTCTTGGCATCACTTGATATCACTGAGGATTCATCACAGCTCCAGAGAGGTCTATGATGTCAGTCAAGATAATCACTAAGACAGCATGATAGTAAGACCCCAAACACTTCTTATTCCTGCTTCCTTCTCTCCCATTGCCCATTTTGATATTACATACAGGGCATTGCTTAAAAAATATTCATTTTCCATAAAACTCACTAAACTCCAACTAGAATAGCATCCTATTGAGTCCCACCTACAACAGTCATCACGACTTATTCTGTAATATGCTTGAATTTCTCTTCTCACCAAGTAATTTAAGGGTGACATAATATCTCCTCTAAAAATTAGGTATTTATATTAATTTGTATTTGAATAAATTTGATTTTTAAATATGTAAACAAATTAATTATATTTAGAGTATAGCTACCCAATTTAATACAATGATTTTATCTATAGGAACACTTGGGAAGGAAAAATTTTTAAAACTTTTTTAAAAAGAACTTCAATGTGTCTTTCCCTATTTGCCAAGAATCCTGTACATATTTTAACACTTAGAAGCAAGGTAGATGTTTTCAATCACGCTAAGATACCAATTTACAAACACTGAAAGCATGAACTTATATGTCTATTTATAAATAGATATTATATGACTATTTATACCTACAAATAAAATTAAAACTATCATTTACTGTTTATTTTAAATATATATATATATATATATATATATATTAGACCTGTGTTTGAATAGCTCAACTATAAACCTGGAAATAAGCCCAAGGTGAAAAGGCCAATATAGAATGCATTAATGATTTGGTTCTATTTAAGTAAATTATTCAGTTTAGGATAAATTTACTACTTCAAATTCTGCTTAAAATTTCAGCTAAAATAACACAGACATGTTAGAAAGCCCAAGGTGTCCAAAAAATTTTCATTGTAATCATTCTATGTCTTTCTCTCCCCCTCTTACTCATTTCCCTCAGCATGATATTCTCCATGTCCATCTATTTGTGAGATATATATACATATATATACATATATATACATATATATGTGTGTATATGTATATATATATAGCATGAGACTAATATCTAAGGACAGTAGAAATGACTGCTAGGAGGCTTGGTCCATGGTTGAAAGACTACCACAGTTTGTGTGTGGTAGGGGGAAGGTGGGAGTTTGACCAGAAAAAGGACCTTTATAACAATTATAGTTGGAAATGATCATTCTGGCCAAGAAATGAGGGCTGAAAGGAGTAAAGGAACATACATGGTTACCTTTCAGTACCTGTATTGCAAACCATCCTACCAAAAGGAGACAGAGAGAGAGAGAGAGAGAGAGAGAGAGAGAGAGAGAGAGAAGAGAGTCTGCATAGAAGTATGCTGGGGGGGTGGCAGGGAAAATTTGGGGACACTGGTGGTGTGAAATGTGCACTGATGAAGGGATAGATGTTGGACCACTGCAATGACAGATTGTGTATCTTATGGTGATTCAATTTAAAAAATGATAAAAAGAATGAGATCATTGTATAATTTCACTTTCTCTGCAGACTTATATATCTGCCACTTAACTCCTCTACCCATTATTAACTGCTATTGTCTTACATAAATTCACCCAAACTTCCTTTTTCTGAAGTGCCATCCAATGAACTGCCAGTTTGGGAAACTGTAATCTTTATCAAATTTTCAACAACATGTGACGGTAGATGCCATCTTGTCTGTGGCTTCTATTCCTTCTCTTCTTTTTCCATCATAGTCTGATTTTCTTCTTCTGAACTATTAAATATATTAGCTATTCAAAAGTGCAGTTCTATATTCCCATCACTCCTCATTTTATACTCTGCTTCCTAGTTTGTTTTTATTCAAAGTAGTTTTCCCTGTTGTCTGAAAACAGAACATTCCCATGAACTCTTTTCTTAGCTGAAATGGCGTGAGCCAAGAAGTAATCATTATTATTCTTTATATGGAAGAAATTAGTGTTCCCAGATCCTCAAATAACTCACCAAATCATGCAAAATAATACATAAAACCTAAAATAACATTCACATAGAGTAAAGGCAGAAATGCCATGATAATTATAGAGTCTGTAGAAAATTAGGGCTGGGAAAGAAGCTTGACAATGTCACTCTTACTTCTGGGGGTAGGTGCTGTCTTTTGCATGGTTTGCTGCAAGGCAAATGCTGAATGCCATTTTCATATTTTTAGCCTTTTTGTCATAAAAGCAAAAACCCTCCACTGATTACTTCTGATACAGAAATGAGTATTAAATGTAGTTCTTTTGTAAAAGTGATGAGGCAAAATATGATTTTTTAAAGTGAGAAATATATGCATCTCCTTCCTTATCAAAGTCACTTTTCCAGATTTGAAAGTATATCAATATCTGGGACAGGACACAGAAATTCATATTTAATTGGTCTGGAATGGGACCTAGTTCCTTGTATTTTTTTTAAGTTCCTAAGTTGACTATAATGAACAGTTAGCATTGAGAATCTCCTCCCTGTGAATTATTTCAATTAGCATCAATTCACCAATGAGTCCTAAATTTATACCATTTAGTAGATACCATCATTTGATATTTATATATTTCTATGTTCGGTTGATGCAAACTCTCTTTTATCAGAAAGCTTAAATAGTCACATTCAAACCTGAATTTTTAATCTTGCCTTTTTAAACACATACTTAAAAACTTGTCTCTTCACTTTATGTTCCTATCTTAATGAATGGCAGAATCATCAAGGCTACTATGACAATTAGAAGCATGGGTATTATAACATAAGTCTATCTCTTATCTTCATTTCTAAGATGCAATATCTTATCTAATATTTGTTTCATATTCAAAACATATTTATTCTACCACTCCTGAGTACAAGTTACTATCACATCTCAGCTAAAGTAATGCCTTTTGAACTGGTTCTCCTCAAAACACTTTCCATATTTCCACTGACCTTCTCAATAAGTAGTGTCACAAAATTATTTATTTATTTAACCTTCAGTGGTTTTCCATTATACTTACACCAACTCAAAAAAATAAAATGGCCCACTGAGTTCCACACATCTAATTGGCTCTAATCTCCCCAGCTGTCTCCATTCCACACCCTACAGCTCTCTCAGGTATACTCATTCTGACTGACCTTGAAGTTCAAAGTGTATCTCACACTCTTTTGCCACAGACCTTTGTACATAACGTTTCCTTGAGTTTGAATTATCCCCTTTTTTAAACCTAGTTAACTTTTACTTAGCCTTCAGCCCTTAGCTGCCACTTCCCCAAAGAAGATTTTTTTAAATAGAAAAAAATGGCCCATTTATATTTATTGGCATCAATTCTCTCTCCTTCATATAAGAATCTGAGTTTTACAGAAATTTATATGGCTTGTTTTGACTAACATCTCTGACTAGATTTTTGTTCCATGAAAAGAGTGAGTTGAGTTTTGTTTGTTTTCAGTGTATCTCTCCAGCATTTAGACATGAATTTTCCCAGAACGATGAATGAAAAGCTTTTGCTTAATAAATTTTCTCACATTTAAGTGGAGATAACAATGCTTGTCATACCCACCTCATAGCACCATTATCAAATCAAACAGGTCTTTAAATAATACTACGTGCCATGAGACTATTCCATCATTTATGATGACATTGCAAAATAAAACCATTAAATAAAAATTCACAAAATAAAATTTTATCTTCTTAACAATATCTCTACCCATGCTAGGTATAAAATTCCAATAAAATGGTACTTACACACTTGGGTTTAATGCTTCTGTAATAAATCGAGCCACTAAAGAATAATAATCAAGTCCAGCATATAACTGGTTGAAGAACCGGGGATGGTCTGTAAATATAAACAGTTTCATGTATATAAGAACAAACAAGAAGAAAAGTGTGATTACCAAAAATCTAAAAGATTCTTGTCAATGATAGTATATAGAAATGATAGTATATAGACCGCATGCTTCTAAATATATGATATTAAGTGTTAGACAAATTTGTCCTACAGATATAGAGATGAAAATTCTGGTAACTTTGCGAAGGAAATTCTGTTTGGGAAGGGGTATCGGGGAGTCACCAGAGTGTTGGAAATGGTCTACATCTTAATCTGGGAGAAACTTACATGCAGCTGTACAATGTAATTAAATAGAAAATTTAAGGTTTCCACTTTACAGACTATGAGGTAATCTCAATTTTTAAAAAAATGAGCACTGGAGCAATAGTATAGTGGGTAGGGCATTTGTCTTGGACATGGCAGACCCAAGTTCAATCCTCAGCATCTGATATGATCCCCCATGCATGCCCCAAGCACACCCAGGAGTAATTCCTGAGTGCAGAGCCAGGTGTAACCCCTGAGCATTACTAGGTATGACCCAAAAACAAAACAAAAAAAAATAAGAGAAATCATTAAAAATCTAATTATGTACAAGTTAAACAAATGTAAGTAACCATCTCATAACTCTTTCTAAGTAAAACTAGGGTGCTCTTCTAAGATGTTGGCTTGCTTTCTTCATTTATTTCTATAGCCCAGACCCAAATAGAATGCCTAAAAAATCAAATATTTGTGCCATTGTTTGCCAAACAATCAAAACATGCTACCTTTATCTTCTAAAATTATCCACACTCATTTTCCTAACTTTAAACATGCTTCACTTATCAATAGGATTCATTTCAGATTACTGGCAGTAAGTAGCATTTTCATTTTCAGGGTGGACCATTTTCGAAAATGTGAGTGGCATTATGTAGATGGAGTAAGATGTGACTCATTGTGCCACTTATATAAACTTTCTGATTCAATTTACTTCAAAGACAGCTGCATTGAAGACTTAAGCAAGTTGAGTTCCAACTTTCAATTTTTTTACTGTCCTATAAAAGGTCTCATAAAGGTTCTTGGCTTTATACAGTGTGAATATTCACACCAAACACAAAACGAACTGCCTTGACATTCTCAGTCACAGGAAGTCCAGGATGAAAAGGAATAAAGAAGCAGGATATCTATGTCTAAATTTGAGCACCAGGGAACCACTATAACCAGTGACCTCTCATTATAACTTAGAATATTTTGTTTTAAATTAGTTTTTTACTTTCTCTTTTTTACTAGGGGTTAAATAAAGAACAAATGTCTCAAAAGAAAATTTCTTCAATAAAAAATGAAAAACTTTCCCTAATCTGGCAAAGAAAACCAGACCTTGCTACGAGTAATTTTTAATGGGATTTTTTTTAGTACTGTGTTAATTTATGATTGATTTCCATGGTAACATTATGGAAAATAACCAGTTAACTGAAAAATCTACTGCATTAAATGTCATTCTACATTTCTGACATGCACTATAATAATAAGATATGTATCTCTGCTTTTGATATGCTAACTGGGTTTTTGATACATACCCCAACTTTCCCAAGGGAATATAAACCAATTATTTTTACCCAGATTGTATTATGTTCTTTCCACTAAATTTAGTTCAGTGCCAGAATTCACAAAGCATTATGCCTGTATGGTCTTAAGCACTGGATTACCTTTACATCAAATTGAGAAATGCATATTTGGAGAAATGATTCTCTTACTTGTGAAACTCACTTCACTATATAAGATATTAATAGTTGGAATAGTACATAAGCACATGACTGAAATCATATTACTGAATTCATAAAGGATCACAGTGGCTAAACAGCATTATGGAACAATCACAACAAAAACCACCTCCTCATTTTTACCTTCTTAAAGACTTTTTTGATCCTACTAGATATGATAAAACAATTTGATAATAACCAACTACTAAGAGTTAATGATAAGTCTCTTTCAAATATTTTCTTTTTATTTAAGAAAAGTAATTGGAGGCTGGAGTGATAGTACAGCAGGTTTTGCCTTGCATGAGGCTGACCCCAGTTCGATCCCTGGCATATGGTCCCGTGAGCACTTCCAGGAGTGATTCCTGAGTGCAGAGTCAGGAGTAACCCCTGTGCATTGCCAAGTGTGACCCCCTCAAAGAAAAGCAAAAAAAAAAAAAGAAAGAAAAATAAGTGGACATCTTGGCATATTATGTGCCATCAATATTCAAAACTTCTTAAGTATAGAATAAAAATATCTATAATAATATATAGGCATAAAAATATCTAAAACAAAATGTAAGGAGTTTTATCAGTGCTGTTCAGAGTCCATGAGGGCCACTGCCAATGATACTTATTTTTTCCCTCAGGCCTGTCATTGGTGGATTGTTGGGGGCCACACCAGGAAGTGCTTAGAGGTAACGAGCCATGAGACACCAGGATTCTAACTCAAGGCCTCTTGTCATTATCTCTCTGATACCGTAACCAAATTTTATCATCAAAATAACAACAGTTTGAACAAACAAAAGAAATGATAAATAACAATCACAAATAAATGATTTTTATTAGAAAGGAAAGCTAAAGACTTCAAGGAGCAGATTTAATATACAGTCACTAACACTAATAGTTTTGCTATCAATTTATCTTAGTTCTTAATGATAAATCTGTTCAAGAACAAGAATTTAATGAAGCATTGATAAATAATCAGCACTACTTTTTAAAAATCCAGATTTCTCCTCCCACGAACAAAAAACAAAAACACCCATCATATTTAGTCTTGCTATAAGGTAAAAACAAGCTTAAGAAAATGTAAGAGCTTGTTAGAAATAAATTTCATGGAAATAAATTGAAGTTCTTACTAGTTTTGACACTGTAGCGTATGACATCCTGGCAGAGTTCCAACAGCTTGTGGTGTGACTCTCCTGTGTCTCTCATCTCCAAATCAAGAAGGTGTTTTAATTGTTCAGGAGACCTCCACTCACAAACCTACAAATCCCACAATGGCATGGTTAATGGAGTGATGACTGGAGCCAGGTGTAGGAAAGAGGTTAGAAGCAGAGACCTTCTTCTTATGAAGTTTAAGACAAGTGTGGAGGCAGAGAGAGAGACTGAAACTAACAAGCCTGGTACAGCATGAAAAGATCTAGGACAGAAATACAGATTGGGAAAAAAATGAGGGGTCTCATTGTAGATATGGATGGGTAAAGGTTTTCTGGAGGAACTGCTATTTAGGTTGTTACATAAAATAAAATTATAGAGGAATCAAGCAAAAGTAATGAGTAGAGTAATGGAAAGAGCATTCTAGGTGTGGGTCACAAGAAACAAAAAATATATTTATATGTAAAAGCACATCTGATGTATGAAGTAAGCTTGCTGTAGCTACCAATAGAGTTGGAAAAGGAAGGAAGAAATACTGTAAGTACACAGAGAGAACTTCCTAGACTCAGCTTGTATCCTTGCATCGTCCTGTTTACTATCAAAACAGGAGATAAAATTCAGAACAATCCCCTTAAATCTAAATAATCTTTCATCTTCTCTAATACCTCCCAAGTGTCCATATCTCCTTCAAAGTCAAAATTCTTACACTTTCCTAAAACAACTCTATATAATTTATCTGGATATATTTAAAATGCAGAGTTTTAAATAACAGTTTTCCCATTAATAAGAGCTTGAACTTCAATTACATAGTCAGGATAAGGAGAAGAATGGGGCAAAGATTATCCTGAGATTTCTGACACCATACATGGGTGGATGGTAGGTGGTGTTGGGGAAAAGAATCTAACTGAGAGTGGGGTGGGGATGATAAGTGTTGAGCTTAGTCTAAGGCATCTCGAGACATATAGGAGGTGGATGGAAATTCTTATGAAAGATAAGGATACAGTTCTTACATACTTGGAAAACAAAACATAATGTCAGGGCACGGAGAATCTACAAACATCTGAGGACTGCAAAGTAAAGGAACTCTCACTTGGGCAACATCAGGAACATTAAGAAGGGAACAAAAGAAAAAGGAGCTCACTTGTAAAGTGAAGGACAAGCCAAATAGACAGAGGAAATTCTAGAAGAAATCCATGCTGTTCAAAGAAAGAAGAAAGGCTGTTTTAAGAAGATGCCCATCACTACCAAACCTTCCTGAGAAATCAAATCAGATAAAGACTGAGATGTGCTCATAGGACTTATCAGCAAGGAGGTGTTCTTGGCAAGAGCAGTTTAGCTTAGAGAGGTGGGAGTAGAGGCCAGATTGCTATGAAGTAAGGATGTAGGAGGTGAGGAAATAGAGGGAGGGGGTGTGTAGCCAATTTTTCAAAAGTTTGGCCTTAGAGGGAAGGAGAGAGACAGGTTTATAAATGAGCTTCCTTAGAGGGAAGGAATGATACTAAGAGGTAGTAGGTTGCAGGAAGCTAGCAGAAATACTAAGTTGTATGGGTGGGATTAAATGAAACTTTGATATTAGAGTCATAATCACTGTCACTGTTACTGTCCTCCCATTGTTCATTGAATTGCTCAAGCGGGCCCAGTAACGTCTCCATTGTGACATTTGTTACTGTGTTTGGCATATCAAATACATCACAGGTAGCTTGCCAGGCTTTGCCATGAGGGTGAGATACTCTTGGTAGCTTGCTGGGCTCTCCGAGAGGGGTGGAGGAATTGAATCTGGGTCGGCCAAGTCAGCCGTATGCAAGGCAAACGCCCTACTGCTGTGCTATTGCTCCAGCCCAGAGACATAATAGGGAGAGGTAAATCAGAAGCAGCTGAGGTTATCATAAAGGGCTGCTAATATACACAATTAACATGGCTGTATCTCAAATGTATTTTTCTGAAGGAAAATGATAAGAATAAACTAAAAACTATTTGTGATATAAGGCCACCTATCCAACTTTCTGGGAAATCCAAAGACTACAGAAATGGAAAACAGGTCAGTGGTGCCAAGAGTTAGAGGGAAGAGGAAAAAGCTGACTATAGAAAGAAACACACAACAGTATTTGGGAGGTGATGGGGTTGTTCTGTATCTTGATTGTTGTAACAGTAATGAATTCTCAAAAGTCATAGTACCACACGATAAAAAAAAACAGAAACTTTGCTGAATGTAAATTATAAATACTTTTAAGTGACTGAACTTAAATCTGCCTTTTCACTGTCTACCACAGGAAACACTAGAAGTAAGGATATAAGTAACAGGTGCTGTACTGGTAGATTACCTTTTAACAGTGCCCTATTGAATCTCTTACAAAGTAGGCTAAGTCAGTGGCATAAAATATTCTTCCCGCCCCCTACCCCACCCAACAATGTTCTCAATCCAATTTTTCATGGAGTATCTACACATCTATTTACCTGCAATCAATTGGTAGTTCCTTAAGTCTCCCCTGACTATGTCATCACCCTCTGATTTCATCTATCCAGACAAAAAGGTTCTCTTTGTTAATTTAAATATATCTAGTTCTTTGCAACAGTTTTCCCATTATTTACTTCCTGGTTTTTTCTCAACTCACATGGAATGTGAGTTGAAAAAAAAACATTTTTTACACATATTCTGCATGTGAAAAATCTTATTAACTCATTAAACATTACTTAACCTTCATGATTCCACACCAAAACTCAAAGTGTTCATTCCTCTTTGAAGTCCCCAAAGTCTGTCCAAGCACATTTGTCACATTCTCACTGAGATTCCCAGTTCTCTTTTCCAATGAGAATTTAGCCATCCAATTAGATTATAAATTCAGTTCAAAGCCGAGCCTTTATCTTATTTTTCTTTATATCCCCCAGAGCTAAATATAATGCTTCCTGAAGCTAGCACCCAGTTAATATTTAATGATGGAATAAAGGACAATTAAAAAAATCTTACCAGAAGAACAAAGTAAAATAAAGCACATCCAAAATATTTCACAAGTACAGATAAGATCAGAAAGGATGTGGTTATAAATATTTAATCAGTAAATACATCACTGATTTTTCTATGAACATAACTGCTCCAAGATCCTAGGTCATTTCAATTCATTTTCCTATTACTTTTCCCAAATACATATGATCAAAAATTCAAAAAAAAAATACCATTACACTTACAATCATTTTTAAAGTGACATTTCTTTCAAATAGAATTGGAGTTTTAAAGTACTCCTATACAAAGATTTGGCAATCCATTTCCAATTGGAAAGGTAATTAAATGATAAGGAGCTAATTTAGCTATATCAAGGAACTTATACAGGAAGAGTTCAAAGTACAGACTGAAGCTAGACTGAATGCATTCCAGTGCCAGGGTACCAACTCTAATTCTTACTCAGGATCTTAGGTCAAGTTCTTGACCTCATTATGCTGTGTGCCATTCTTTTCCTGCTCATCTCAAAAAACAGAGTCAATATACAATATCTACTTCTTAGGTTTGGGAGGAGAAAATAGATAAAAGTGGAAGAGTCCTTTGAACACCATAGTAATAACTTTTTAATGTCATTACTAATATCATAATTATTTGAATTTGAGCCTGAATATAAAACATAGAACCAGCTGGAAGTCAGATTTATCAGCCCATGATATGTAGTTTAAGTTCATACAAGTTCCTACTAAGGACCTTCGGATAACATTTGTACTTATCAACCCCTTTCTACCTTCAATTTGATGTTTGTGAGCAATATAAAGAATATTCTGGGGGGGAGAGAAATATTGGGATCACTGGTGGTGGAGAATGGGCACTGGTGAAGGGATAGCTACTCAATCACTGTATGATTGAAATGTAAACTCGAAAGTTTGTAAGTCTGTAACTTTACCTCACGGTGATTCATTAAAAAAAAAAGAATATGCAGAAGTAAATGAAGAGCAAAGTGTTCTCAAAGACTAAATAAATTAGATAATCAGGTTATTATCAATATCAGTGGGCTCCAACAATTGGTTTATAAACTGGTGCCATTTCACAGACATAAAAAGATTAAAAACCAATGATTTCTATTATTTATAGCCTAATTTATTTATGATTATATGATTATTATAGTGATTTTATTATAATAATGATTCATTATATCACTATTCTCTATAGCAGAAAGCTTCAACATTGCGTTTTACAGACATGTCTGCTGAAATTCTGGAATTAAAGTTCTAACAAGTAATGACTGGCAAAGTAAGGAATGAACCCTTCAGGTGAGTAGAGACTGGATGTAAGTCAGAGGAAGTAAAAAACAGTTGTCTGGGCATAAAATAGAAATAAGGGTATAGAAGAAATGAAAATGTATGCTTTTAATCTCCTTGTATCTAGGAACCCGGAGGTAGAGAAGTACAACTTTTTTCCGTTCCTGGGATTTCTTAATTTTTACCTTCTCATTGACATCTGTAGCCTTCAAAACCACCTCTTTCATTATTAGCCTACAGGCCTCTTCAACAAATTTTTCCCCTGCTTTTGCATCTGTCGTCGGCCCATTCAGTATGATCCCATCCACAACAACTGCACTCTTCTTACTTGGAACCATCTCTTCTTGGTCAGTATCTCCTGGAAGCACACAAAAAATGCTGTCTAAGAAGTGACCCAATTAAATTTATCAACAAAATACAGGGAGAGAAATGGATCACTACCCAGATTGAAACAGAATGCCTTCATTTAATGTATTTAGTGCTTTCAAGAGGACAGTCTCTTATGCTGCCCAATAGCATGATGGAGTTGTATTTTCAATTCCTACAGGAGCAGGGAAGAACTCAAAAATAGTCAATTAAACCCATTTTATTCACTGCTTGAAACCCCTTTCAAGCACAGGTACAAAATCATCATTGAGAACATTAGCCCATGTTTCAGTTGATGCACACTCACTCTTGTAATTTGCTAAAGATAAATTTACATTTAAGTCTGCTCAAATGAGCCTCTATATTATAGACTTTGCTTATGTTTCAGATCCTCTCTTTAAACCTGCTCAGCCATTTCCTGCTTAAGAGGAGAAAAGAAACTGATCAGCACAGCAGAGTGGGTTTTATGAACCCATTTTAATGCCTTAAAACATTTTCACCCAGAACTCCAATGATGAATTTAGCTCCATCCTTCACTTTATCTTACCTTGCACTTTAGGCATAGAAGAAAGTAGAACATTTTAGGACTATACACTACTAGGCACTGATTAAAGGTTAAAAGTCAACATGGAAATCTATATCTAACAATAAAGGTTACTGCCTACCCAGAATAACCCTCTATAAAAAAAATTTTGCAACGTACTCCCAAATATTCAACCAGTATCTCTGAGAAACTTTTTTCTTTCTTATGAGCATTTTCCTCCTGTTTAAAACATAGATGCTCATTTAGTTATGCGATTTTATAGAACTGGTATAGCTATTTTTCTTTTCCTTTCTTTCTTATTTTTTTTGAGAGAGAGTTAGGAACCAAACACAAGGCTTCACTTGCAGAAGGTATGTGTTCTATCACTAACTGTAGCAATGTAGCACTGTCCTCCTGTTGTTCATAGATTTACTCGAGTGGGCCCAGTAATGTCTCCATTGTGAGACTTGTTGCTGTGTTTGGCATATTGAATATGTCACAGGTAGCTTGCCAGGATTTACTGTGTGGGCGAGATACTCTCAGTAGCTTGCCAGGCTCTCTGAGGGGGGCGAAGGAATCAAACTTGGGTAGGCCAGGTCGGCTTCGTGCAAGGCAAACACCCTACCCGCCGTGCTATTGCTCCTACAGAAACAATTTTGAAAAATGTTTTTTAGCATCACACCTAACCCAGTGTTTCACTGACATTTTGGTAACTTGCCATAAATGTTCATGGAGTCTTTATGTCCTTAGAATATTTTATATTGCTGAGGGTTTTAGCAATATTAACATGAATTATACCTGTCTTCTCAAATTAAACTGGTTCAGTAAAACTCCATAGTTTTCTTAACTCATTAGTTCTATCACTTGCAAATTCAAGTAATATTTATAGAATAATACAGGAATGTTATAAAACTATTATAGGAAAATACTCCAAATAGGGAAAGATGGAATATTTTGTAGAACATAGATCTTGGGTCATCACACTGCAGGGTAAAATACCAGATTTTAGCTCCATCCATCACTTTCAAATATCTTTCACTTGAAAGGATATATTCAGCATAGTTTGGAGCTAAATGACAAAGCCCTGAAATTGAGCTTTCAGATAGAACTGTTCTACACATAAAGTATTTTCCTATCCAAAATTTTTTATCCTAAAAATAAAGTTTTTTAAAAAAGGACAATTATTCAGGGATCCCTAGTTATGTCAATCAGAAGTGCTATTATTAACACATAAAAGGTTAGGTTTTTTTTAAGTCACCATGAGATACACAATTACAAATTTGTTCATGATTGAATTTCAGTCATACAATATTCCAACACCTGTCCCCTCACCAGTGCACATTTCCCACCACCAATGTCCCTGTTTTTTTCCGGCCACTCCTCCCCCAGCCTGCCTCTAAGGCAAACACTTTTCTTCTCTCCCTTTTGGGCATTATGGTTTGCAATACAGATAGTGAAAGGTTATCATGTATGTCCCTTTACTTCCTTTCAGCACCCAGTTCTTGTCCAGAGTGATCATTTCCAGCTATCATTGTCATAGTGATCTCTTTTCTGTCTTAAGAGACCACTAAGAGACCACTTCTAACTCTAACAAGGTGTTATAACAGAGTAAAACTTAATTTTTAAAAAACTCATGAGTAAGAATTTAGATTTTTTATTGCCCAGAGAAAAGAAGCCACTTTGTAATACTCTCAAAATCTCTCTTCCCCCCTCTTTTTCTCTCTCTCTCTCTCCTCTCTCCCTCTCTACTTTTATCACTCTCTCTTTTGCCCCCCCTCCCTTTGTCTCTTTAGCCAACAAATATTTAGTCAATGAATAAAAGTTTCCCTACCTGGTTCCTTCAAACAAATGATACCCCGAAACCCTCCCTTCTTTTAGGCACCAGAATAGGTTGCTAGACCTGACTAACTGAGATAGGACAGGAATAAAACATAATACATGGGTTACAGAGGGTCAGTGAGGTCAGAAAGTTCCCTAGAATGAGAACTACTTGGCCAAGTTTGTATGTGAAGGTTAAAAAGGACCTTAATATCTCGCTCCTTGTGGAGTTTAACCAGTATTTTGTATATCCTGGATATCAACCCCTTGTCAGATGTGTATTCGGTGAATATCCTTTACTCCACAAGAAGAAAACATCCAACCCCATCCAAAAATGGGGCAATGAAATGAACAGAAACTTTCTCAAAGAAGAAATCCGAATGGCAAAAAAGCACATGAGAAAATGCTCTACATCATTAATCATCAGGGAGATGCAGATCAAAACCACAATGAGATACCATCTCACACCTCAGAGACTGGCCCACATTCAAAAGAACAAAAGCAACCGATGCTGGCGTGGATGTGGCGAGAAAGGGACACTCCTTCACTGTTGGTGGGAATGTCCACTGGTTCAGCCCTTCTGGAAAACAGTATGGACGATTCTCAAAAAATTAGAAATTGAGCTCCCATTTGACCCAGCAATACCACTCCTGGGAATATATCCCAGAGAGGCAAAAATGTATAGTCGAAGTGACATCTGCACTTGTTTGTTCATTGCAGCACTCTTTACAATAGCCAGAAACTGGAAGAAACCTGAATGCCCAAGAACAGATGACTGGTTAAAGAAACTTTGGTACATCTACACAATGGAGTACTATGTAGCTGTTAGAAAAGATGAAGTCATGAAATTTACATACAAGTGGTACAACATGGAAAGTATCATGCTAAGCGAAATGAGTCAGAAAGAGAGGGATAGACATAGAAAGATTGCATTCATCTGGGGGATATAAAGTAACAAAGTATGAGATTAATACCCAAGAATAGCTGAGATCAGCACCAGGAGGATTACTCCATAACTTAGAGGCCAGCCGGGTATCCTAGAGGAAAGGGCAGTTCAGATAGAGAAGGGAGCACCAAATAAAGGATGTTTGGAGGATCCTCCCAGGAGGGGAGATGCATGTGGAAAGTAGACTATGGACTGAACATGTTTGCCACTCAATGCCTCTTTTGCAGACCACAACACCCAAAAGGAGAGAGAGAACACAGGGGATTGCCCTGCCACAGAGACAGGGGGGATGGGGGGATGGGGGTGGGAGGGATATTACCCATGGTGGTGGAAAATGGGCACTGGTGGAGGGATGGGTATCTGATCATTGTATAATTGAAACCAAAGCACAAAAAATTGTAAATCTACAACTTTAAAAAAATAAAATAAAATAAAGGAAAAAAAAAGGGAAAAAAAAATATCTCGCTCTAGGGGCCACTCTTCCAAATAGGGAAGCATAAGAACAACACTTGAATTTCCACTATTTCCTCAATACCACACCTCGTCAAATTCCACATAAGTCCAACTTTTTTCTATGTATAGTTTTCCCTTGCTTAACAAATTCAAATACAAACTTTGAATACTGGTTAAAATATGAAGGAGTGGCTTTTTCCAATGACAAGAGAATTAAAGGAATACAAAGACCTAAAACACTGGCTAATATGTAGAAGGAAATCAAGAAATGTTTTTAGTATTGCTAACTCAATAATAAATGTTAGTTCATAGTAGTAGGCATTTTGCTTACTTATTTTTTAGAACACATCTGGCTGTGCTCAGGACTTACTCCTGGCATGGTGATCAGAGATCATTCCTGGTTGGACTTAGGGAAATTGTGTGGTACTGGGTCACTAACCCAGATCTGCTACATGCAAGGCAATACCTACCTGCTATACTATCTCTGTGATCCAATAGCATATATATAATAGTATTTACTACTTGTGAATAAATTATCATTTAATATGTTTATTAAACACTAATGGGCTGAGGCTGAAGCCATAGCACAGCAAGTAAGGCGTTTGCCTTGCACAAGTCCGATCCACGTTCGATTCTTCTGCCCCTCTCGAAGAGCCCAGCAAGCTACCGAGAGTATCTCACCCAAACAGCAAAGCCTGGCAAGCTCCCTGTGACGTATTCGATATGCCCAAAACAGTAACAACAAGTCTCACAATTTGTTGTGAGACATTACTGGTGCCCGCTCGAGCAAATCAACGAACAACGAGAGGACAGTGCTACAGTGCTATTAAACACAGAGTTGATGTTCAATATAAATACTAATAGATAATATTGCATCATAATATAATTAAATACATTATATATAATATATAATATAATAAATACATTATATATTACATAATATAATATATAATATAATATAATGAGTAGGCAAGAGATGACAGTAGAAGGAAATATGCTCTGTAAGGGAGTACAACTTCCTGTGACAGTATTCAGGATACTAATGGCATATGAGCTCACATGTCAATGCTAGTTCAGCTCTCACTAGGTAAGAAGCTGTCCCCACTTCCTAGCTTGTCATATTCTACCTGGCAATGTGGTTATCTGGGTAGAAATTTTATTCCTCACACCACATTGTAAACTTCTTCAAGGATAAGATCCATGCCTCATATTTTTCTGGATATTGTGCAAACAAGTTTAGCAGTTGGTACTG